TAAAATACTCATAAAATAAACAAAACATTAACAAATTTATATAGAGAAAAAATGACAAAAATAGTTTTATAAACCGGGCATGTAGTGAACGACAGAAAACCATTGTTTCTGTCGTTTGTTTACGGACCATTCGATAGAGAACTTCACGCTGATCAAGAATATCTGGTTTTTATCCTTCCCAGTGCACATTATCAGTAAAACAAATTCCAAAAACTTGAAGGATCTCTTTTTTCGAAAAACCACTAACTTTTTTTAAAAATTGAATAACTTGGTTCCACTTCATTTCAAAGTCGTGAAACTGTGTTTTTCTTATTCAGCGTTGTAAAACTGCATCTAGAAAACGGTATTTCAAGGTTTCACACCATAAAATACTTTCTGGGCACTAAACGGGACCGATATATCCTCGGTTTCGGGCCCCTCATCTTGCAAACCTATCGCAGCTCTTTGGTTAATACATGAAACCAAGTTTCATACGCTATTCGATTCGCCATGAGACGCAGAAAAAAAGTATAAATCGGCTTTTTGAAATTTCTTTCCGTCGTTGAAAAAATTCCTTTTTTCTCAATCAGAGACAAAAAAGTTAGAATTCTGCTTGTAATTCTCAATTTTCTCCATCAGAAATCAACTTTTATGCAATAGAGATATCATATTCGGAATCAGTATCAAAAACTGAGTCGACTGATATGTATATCTATCATACTCGACCACCTTAGTTTTTGTTTAATTTTTACGTTAACGATTTTTACCAAAAAATGAAAATCAACCAAAAATTTCGAAATACATATCAGTCGACTCAGTTTATCGAATAGCGTATGAAACTTGGTTTCAAGTATTAACCAAAGAGCTGCGATAGGTTTGCAAGATGAGGGGCTCGAAACCGAGGATATATCGGTCCCGTTTAGTGCCCAGAAAATATTTTATGGTGTGGAACCTTGAAATACAGTTTTCTAGATGCAGTTTTCAACGCTGAATAAGAAAAACACAGTTTCACGACTTTGAAATGAAGTGGAACCAAGTTATTCAATTTTTAAAAAAAGTTAGTGGTTTTTTGAAAAAAGAGATCCTTCAAGTTTTTGGAATTTGTTTTACTGATAATGTGCACTGGGAAGGATAAAAACCAGATATTCTTGATCAGCGTGAAGTTCTCTATCGAATGACGTATGACTAACCCAAAAGTAAAATAGTGCTACAACTTCGAATTTGGAGCGCCTTACACGCCACACCTATCACGTGCAAACTACAATATCAATATATATGCAATTGAACTAGAATACAATCGAGCTGCACTCAGATATGTTTTGTGAATGTGGAGCACATTTCAAGTCAATTCTAACTATTCCTGCTTCTACGCATGTAACTTTCACGCAACCAAATTCTAACGTTTGACATTACAACGAATTCGGAGGAATACAAAATAACGAAACGTTGATTCATTCAAAACATATGACAAAAAGAATAAGTTTTCTTAAATAAACTTCACTCTTGAGCGAACCAATGATAGACTTTTGAAACTTTGGAATAGTTAATAACTGCAAGTGTGAATGAATAGAATGTGTTTTCAACGATTAAAATCGAATAGAAGAATGACGAGATAAGTTTGACAAAAAAAAAAAACGTGTCATTGAATCTGGAACGTCCCAAAAAAAACAGAATGCAATTACGTTGTTCATAAGTTGCGAACGTGGTACGCAAGCTGCGCCTCAGATTTAATCAAAATCGTGCATGACGTATCTCTCGTTTGTTTTTGTGTTAGTCCGTTTTCTGTTGTGTTCTTTCCAAATGTAAGAAATCTCTACAATAATATAACGTTTCATTCGACGTTCAAATCAGTCAGATGTTACTCATTATCAATATTTGAAATAAAAATCATGAATCGTGAGTATAAACAGTTGTTGAAAGCTTTCCTGTAGAAGCAGAATTGAGCATATGAATTTATTGAACTTTCATTAAAACTTCTTTAGTCGAAAAATATTTCCTTGAAATTCATTTCTTCAAAACGTGACTTTTTCGAAGATATTTTTAGTGCGTTCAGACTTAGATAAGTATGTCAAATGTAGTTGGAAATTTTGAGGAGCACTAAAATATCAATAGGCAGTATATTCTCAAAATCCTACCCGTTTTATATAAGTATACACGGACTTGATATATTCTAGTGTATTGTCAGATTCTAGTTAAAAATTAGTCGTAGAATGTTGTTTCATGACTCACTCTCATGCTACCAGCCTTCCATCTCCAGTCCAATCCGTATATGTACACTGTGCCAGTACATCAAAACAATTGGCGGTTGCAGAAAGACTATGTTCTGTTGAAAATCATACAAGTTTTAGAGCTTATAATTGTCTAAGGAAAGAATTTGATAACCTCAAAAACGAGAGTCTTACCTTTAGCGCATTCTAATTCTAATAGTATTTGGGCGGGTAAAATTAGATCAGTAGATTTCAATATAAGTTTTTCCATCGATGATGACGGTAACGTAATAGATTCTTCCAAGCTGATCGCTATGGTGACGGTATCAGCTTGCTTTTTCTTATCGTTTTATAGACTATCCATTAATTCACTAATTGAGGATTATTAAAAACAGATTTCTCATTTCAAGACTATTTGCAACATCTATAACAAAGAACTTGACACTTGGACAGTTGCATCTACTTCTTGCCATTTTAAAACACAAAAAAAATAATTTTACAAAATGAAAAAGGGTATCACATCCAATTCCATAGTTCAACCTTTTACGTGTCGTAAAACTCGATACTTTTAGCAACATTTTGATCTGCAACACCAGGTTTGTGTTGTGACATATGTAGCACATTCTTGAAACATGGTTTAAATCTATGAATATACAGAATTTTCCAGAAATGCTGTGATTTTCATAACATTTTGAACCGATTCACTCGCTTCTGATAATGTTGATGTACTTAGTCCCATTGTATTATTCTATTCGAACAAAAGATCAGACTTCGGAGATTCAGATTATAGCAACCAGGAAGTTCTCAGATTGATTCAATATCAGTTAATACGAATTCAGCAGGCCGTTAACAGTGCTGAAAGGGAGTAAAACATACACTAGAAGTATTGAAAATTGATCAGAAGCTCATAAAACAGGCAAAGCCATTCTTCTCTACCACCTGACTCTTATACCAGACTCAGACCTAGATCTAGACAACCGTGACATATGAAATGCGATTCAAAACCGTGCGACAGATGTTTCTTGTAGGAAGCATGATGCATTTCCTTACGACACATTATTTTTTAGTGTTATACACCTCTGAGATGCGTATGAATGAGATCAAAGTTCTTACTCTTGGGCAAAAAATGAACGAGTTTTCGAACCACCAGTGTTTATCTCTGTAATTTGCTATTGGTTTAAAGTGTATAATACACTGTACTTTCTTCCAGATTATTCACTAATATCGATAATATTTATATTGTCAATATTTAATTGTTGTTCCATTCACGAGAAAATCTGACATAATCCATGTTTTTATTATCGAATTTAAGATTTATCCATCAGGCCGCTTAGGCATTCTAAAACTATATATTTGTCTAAGCAAATTTCAAATTAACATGTGCATGCATCTTGATTTGAAATGTTTTTAGGCGCGTCTCTATTAGAGATTAACAAGTTTAAAACTTGTCTGGATTAAGAAATGGCTGAAACATGCGTGAACAGCCAGACGGATGACCGCCCGAAATGCAACAGTAATAAACGAATGGACTATTACAGTATTAGTTCGATGGTCCGTCCATAATACATTGCGGTCTCAGTATTTCTTCAATTATTTTTTTTTTATTTTTTATCGTAGAGTCTTCAATTTATTTTTAAAGGTTTCATTCTCTATAAAATTGTACTGAACATTTTTTAAATACCGAATAAAATAAATGTATATAGATAAAACCACTGCTAAACTTTAATTTCCATTATTTTCTAACTCAAAAAACAGTTTTTCAGTTTTCATCTTTTTATGTTTTGCGATATAAAATAAGACAAGATGACCACGTTGTAGAACTTGAAAAGCTGAATCAACTTGTCATATTTAAAACAAGCCACTATCAATCGAATCTACAAAAGTCCTAATGAGCATCTGAACGTTGTCTAGTGATTCGATCCATTACTATGAGAATATACCTCTAAGATACAAAAATGGATAGAGAAGTCTTTGAATAAGCACATTGATAATAGATGCTGATTAGATTAACTGCAACTATGTAATAATGAAAAGTTTTTCATTTTACTTCCAAATGCATCACATATCTCAAACGTCCCATTGATATTTAAACGAAATGTTGTCAGCGTAACCACTAGACAAAAGTCACTATCTATCTGTATAAAAATTATTTTCCTCGAGTTATTAATGACTCAGCTAGCAGCAAAAGATTAGGAAAACTTTTGACGTCATTGATCGGAAATTACCCCAGATGACTCTATAATTATTTTTTTATTTTTTTCGCTATATAAAAAGAAATGTTTAGTATAGCTTTTATAGAGAATGGAACGGGGAATATACATTAATAATTCACATACATCTCGATCTTTACCAATCACAATATTATTCTTTTCAGATTTGTATTCGAATTGTCAAAAGGCATTATAAAATACTCATAAAATAAACAAAACATTAACAAATTTATATAGAGAAAAAATGACAAAAATAGTTTTATAAACCGGGCATGTAGTGAACGACAGAAAACCATTGTTTCTGTCGTTTGTTTACGGACAGTTACATCATCATTATCTTTGTTGCTGCAAAACGTATTGCTGGCGTTGCTTTGTACGGGCTACGCTTTTATTTGCTGAAATGCTTTTGGCTAAATTAGCTTCTAAACGTGAACGCATTAGGCGGTATATTAACGCAGATTTATTAAATTTTGATTTTGATCCGTACTGATCATTGTTCCCATCGTCGCTACCATTTAGATTCATCCAATCATCGTATTCCCATGGATGTTTAGCTAAAAGTTCTTTTGTTGTTGTCGGTTTTTTCATTTTATTTTGCTGTTGCTGAAGCAGAGCATTTCCATGAAGGGATGAATGTGGACGACGTTCAGGAATATCGGGTAATGCCTGAGATGAAGCATGTGAACGATCAGGTAGACTTTGATTGAGCTTATACCGAGGAGTATCTTGTTGTGGTAAAGTATCGTTGTTGTTAGTCGATGCGGATGATACAACAGACGACGGAGATGGTTCACGTTCTTTACGTTGTTTTAACCATGTGCCTTGAAGGAAGAGGAATAAATGCATGTAGTGCCAGAAAAGAAAATTAGTCAAGTGATTAGAAATTAGTATTATCTGGATTACAGTTTTAATTTTACACTTTACTACCTTATTGACCATGGATATTACCAGATAAAAATATTTAACGACTTACTGTGAGATTGGTTTTCTAAAAAAGAAGTCAAAAAAAAGAAGTCTAAAATAAAGATCCAGGATAGCGATTTTCGAAGTCTACTCTGTTCTATCATGTATTTCAGCTTTGTTCCTGCACGTCACTAATCCAAACTCGTCGCAGATCAAGAGATTGTCACTTTTTTCAACAAATTTCTGAATAAAGTATAAGCATTATCCTCACTTACCTAGTGTTTTTGTATCAACAACTGTTAATTGTCTGCCACTAACTAACCAATTGTGATTTGCATTTTTTGCTGTTCCTGTTTGCTGCTGAAGTGATGATGATGCAACGGTCCCGTGTCCCTAGCTTGTGACACTTGCCAGTTTTGATTTTGAAATGAGAACGAGTGCTTTTGGTCCGTGCATGGGACTTGTTGTTGGTGCATGGGCCGATGCCATTAGACGTTCTTTTGTCGATGAATCTAAATTTTTCCATTCTTCAGCAATGACCGTTGCTGGCTTTAAAATTTCAAAATTTGGTCGGTAACGTGTAATTGTTTGATAACGCATGATAGTCTTTTCATTTATGTTATTCAAAGTATTAGTACTCGTAATACTTTGAGATTGCGAGATAGTATTATTTGTACTATTAGTGTTTATACTCGATGTGCCAGCTCCTGTTAAACTAGCCGAGTTGGCGGGTGATACGACAGTCATATTTACATCGCTATATGTTTTTGTTGATTCTTGTAATCGAGAACGACGAATACGCTCTTGAAATTGACGAAATTGATTTGGAAATATTGTGCGTTGAACAGTGTTCGTAACTGGAGGACTTAACGGCTCTTTTTCCGTTGTGCCGCGAACAATTTTTGGTGATGGTGGCGAATGATTTCGTGGTGGAGAAGGAGCTTGAGTTGACACAGGAGAATTATTATTTGGATTGTTTACCACGGTTGCAGGGAGTTTTCGAGTATTGGGTGAACTACTTTTCGCACGACGTTGCTCAATGAAAGGCAAGGAACCTTTACGTTCCATTTCGTTATAGATGCATTTGAAAGATTTGATGTTTTTTAGAGGAAATATACGCTGATTATGACGAATTTTTTCAAAACATTCTATTGCTAACACTGAATGGAAAGGATAGGTTCCACTCTCTTATATTGATAACTAAGAAATGTTTACACTTACTTATACTTTCTTCAACAACTGGTGGTATGGCTTCTACCAAAGTATTTGTATTTGTTGTTAAAGCTGGATTTACATTTACTTCAATGAGCCACACTTTCATGTCTTGATCAATCATAAAATCGTAACCATACAAACCAAAACATCCTATGCGACGTTTTAAACGCATCCGAATTGCTTCAATCAAATTTAACATGATACGATGAATAATTTTCTAAAAATGATGATATTTTATCATATTCAAATGTGTTTGATATAATTTAAAGAGCCAACTTACGGGTAGTACATTCAATACCCAGTCCTGTTCGAATTCAGGCTTATTTTTCAACACATTTTTATTGATATAGTCACTAAAATAAGACATAGGACACATCATTTGCGTGTTTCGATTCACTATAGACACTTGAACACTAACTTAAACTGCTCCATTGTCATTGCTGTCTCTTCTTTCAAATCATAATATTTCGGATCTTTCTTTTGCATATACTAAACTGATTGATACTGAGGTGATAACTATCGGTTTACTATTAGTTAATTACCTGATTTGTCAAATGAGTAAGAAGATTTCCATCATTTGGATCGAAATCGAACATCGATAACCTCACATAACCCGAATGATAGAGAACAATGAGTGGTTTAACACTGGCAATTAACATATAACATCGAATGTCAAATTTTTTCCCATGAATTAATAACGGATTTATGATATATCTACAACAGAAAAATTTTCCAAGAAATATGAATGGAAAAAAGTAGCAGAATACTCTCACCTTTGAATAACACGTTTCATAGGTTTAACCGAAACTTGTTTTTTCTTATCAAGTGCATCAATTTCGGCGAATTTCTTCTTCAATGATTCAATATCTCGTACCAGATAAATCCCTTTACCTTAAAGAACTTATCTTGTTAAAGCTTATAATTTTTGGACTACAACGTGTTGAAGATGTGAAAAGTAATCATCGTTATAGCTGTACTATACTGAATAAGATCTACTTTCTACCTTGATTCAGACCGCTCGGTTTGCATATCCACACATCACCGGCTAAAAATAGAATAAATGAAGGATCACGCAAAACGACGCTGTTCTAATATTTCACCTACGTTTGTGTATACTAAAAAATGCATCTCTATCATTTTTTTCGTCTAATTTAAATGTTTCTGGTACAAAATCACTCAAAGATAAAAATTCTTTTGGACGTTTTTGCATTGTCAATGTTATTTTCTCGTAGGTTTGTAATGATTGCCATAATTGTAATTTTGTTGTAAAGTAATCTTCGCCTAAAAATGTGCAAAGTAATTATGAACAGCTTACCTTATTCGAAAAGAGATATCTATTGTACCTTGTATATGATTGACTATTTGTTCTCCATCTTTAAATGCATTCCAATTAACATTCTGATTGCATTGTACCCATTTGAACTTGTAATCATCCGTTTTTTCGACCAAACGTTCATATCCAAGATTGAGCAATATACTTTCGATTCTAAACAAATGTGAAGATTTTTATGATCCTGTACATTTCAAAGAAGAACAAGTTTTTTGTGTATTGCCGAAGGTCAGATTTTATTGGACTGTTCAGTAAGTATTATTTTCTCAAAAAAAAACAAAAAAATTGAGCAGATAAGTATATTTTGTTGTATAATATTTTGAATTCTAAGTCTTACAGTTCTGAATTATTGCCCGTTCCAATATAACATTTCTGAGTTGGATCAGAATATAATGAATTTTCTTTGATTTTATTAGATGGCGAAGTTACTATATTGTTATTTACGTTGGACTTTTCGGTTGTTTGATTAGTAGTTGATTTACTACCAGTATTACTGGCATCCGGTGACGACTCATCCGACATAACCTAGAAAAGTAAGCGTCTGAGATCATAATAAATAGATATTTTCATTATTTCGTGTTGATGTAAGTAACACGACATTTAATGAGGATTAATTTAAATGAAAAACAGTACGGTTTAGGATAATTTGCTTTATAGAGATTGAAATATTTCTGTAAATTTATGTTTCTTATACGCTATGTGCCTCGAAAAAAATAAAATGGTGGAGGTCTCTCATGAGCGGGACTTTTGTGGGAGAAATTTATTTAACTCTACGGGATGCATGAAGATCCTACTAAATTTTCTGCAAATATTTCCTACAATTCCATGGAATTTGTGATTCTTCAAAATTCATCAGATCTATTGTCTGTATTAATATAAATAAATGTAAATAGTTCAAAAATACTATTTCCACTCAAATATTCAGACATTCTAAATATAATCTTATACTTATCTATCTCGCTGTCTTCTATCATTTTTGAAAAGAATTTTTGTTTTTTTTCTGATTTAGACGATTAACTAAAATAAGAATTAATCTAGGATCGTATAATAATTAGTCAACTCTTTCTTAGTTATATGAAATATTGAATTATTTTTACTAGTATTGTTTCTATGGCTTATTTACCGCATACATTAGAAATGCAGTTATTTTTTATTTGTTCTACCTTTTTTCTAAATAGTGCATGATAAATTTTAATCATCTGGTCAAACGACTTGATCGTTTTTGAGTGAATTCATGAGATCTAATAGTAAAACAGGACAAAGTACAATACACACTTGAAATATACAGTAAATTTTTATGGCTACCGAATATTGGATATTCAAATTTTTCTTTTCTTAATATTTTGTTTATTTTATTCTATGAATAATAAATAGGCTCTTTTTTGGTCTTAATCAACAAAAAAGGAAACTTCATAAAAAAAAAAGCATTATGCTTATCATTGTCATGGTTTGTTCTTATTTATTTTCTTCAAAAAAGATGAAAAAAACAATGTTGTTTTAATTTATAATTTCGTCAGTTGAAATGATTCTATGGTTAAAAACTCGTTCATTCATATTCATGGAATCCCTCGCAAAAAAGTAACTGTTTATAGACTGACTGACAATTCAGACTCTCTTA